GCCAGAAATGTAATGTAACTTCCTACCCTTGTGACAAGTACAAAGCCATTTTGGGGATTTTATTTAAACGTTTTTTGGGGGATTTGATTATACTAATGACTACCAACCCGCCCCCCCCCATTCCAACATAGAGGCGCAGATCCAGCTGGCACGACAAAAGACCTTCAATGGGGGCTAATTTATCCGCCGCGGGGGCTGTAATGTCAGTACAGATTCCCCCGAACACCCCTCAGACCCACCCCTTCCCTCCCTCCACTGCGGGGTGAACAAAAACAGCAGACTTGCATTGACCTGCTCCCAAATGGCCACCACTGCAGTTGAAGGGGTAAAAAAAAAAAACCGAACCCAGCCCTAACAATAATGCCGGCTCAGTCCCCTACGGTCGCAGACTAATATGGTCGGGTTTGAAGTGTGGTACTGGGTCAGCACTGCGCTTTTGTGAAAGCTTCCCCCCGTTCTATAGCGCTGAAAATAGAGAACCTGCGACCCAATTATCCTGCCTGAGAGAAAGAGAGAGGGGGGGAGGAGAGAGAAACAGAGAGGGAGAGAGAGGGAACATAAAAGCAGTGAGAAGGGGATAGAGGGAAAAGAGGAAGAGAGGAAAGAGGGGGAGGTCGAGGGGTTGAGAGAGAGAGGCGAGGGTGGGGGGTGGTTTGCCTAAACCTCAGGAGGAATGTGAGGAGTGCTGGCTCAGAGTTTTGGCGGTAATGGGCTGCCAAAGGCACTTAATATTATCCCTTATCAAGCACCGTGGTGACTTTAACACAGACAGCTATAACACCTCAGCACAGGCCAATTCTCTGACCTCGACACCTGCTGTCAAACCCCGCAAAACCCTGAATTAGGTATCTGAATATTAAAAACTACGCTGGCTGTAGCACACGTCCTGCCGTGGACGCTAGTTTACAGTGGGTCAGAACTGAATGGAAACACTCAGACGCACACACAAACACAGACAAGAACACACGCATCATGAAGCACTGTTCCATAGCACGGACCATTACAGTCTCTGACACATGTTGTGTGAGATGTTGGCTGATATCCAAGCCTCAGACTGCCTCTCTCCCCTTGGCCGAGCAGCAGGTATCTGAGAATAACATTCTTCTCCTCTCCACTACTAAGCAACGAAGGGAACAAGTGCACTTGTAAGAGAGCAAAGGGTATGGAGAGAGAGGGAGAGGAGTATAGAGAGAGAGAGGGGGAAGAAGTGAAAAAGAAATACAAATAGGAAGAGAGAGAGAGACACATGCAGAGAGGGAAAGAGAGATGTGCAATATCTGATATATACTCATCTTTTATTGTAATTGCAATTATTGCCATTGTTATTTTTGAGTTGTTGTTAGCCCCATAAATGTCAATGTCAGTTTGTTAATCAGTCAGTCTGTCTCTTTGCAAACAAAATTTCTCAAAAACTAACTTGGCTGATTTGCACTTAACTTAATAGGGAAGTAGGGAATATTATGCTCTGGAAGTGATTTAATTTTGGGGACATTATGACGTACGATTACAACGTAATGTCATTAAAACATTCAATTGTTTTTAGCAACATCTGAACAACTACGTAAACATCATACTGACTTGCTGTTAAAGCTAAAATTAATTCAATATCTTTACTGATTTGATTTCAACTTTAAAAGAAAAAAAGACTTTTAATCTGCTGCTATCACACAATATTTATAGTTTTTGAGATCTCCAAATGTCAAAGTTTTGCCCGTCCACGTCAGAAATAGCTTTTTTTACAATAAATTTTTAGGTTTTATATATGAATGTCTCAGCAGAATTACTTCAATTTAGAAGTTCTAAATATAAAACTATAAAAACTTTTTTTTTTTTTTTAAAAGTCTTGGTATTGTTGTTTTGGCGGAGCCATGCACTTGAGTGTCTTTTTAGTTATTGTTGTGATTGCGTATCACGCTTTGGCAGTGAGCATTGCAAAATATGTCATGTCAGTGAGGCATTGTTAAATGGAAAAAATGAATTAAGACAGAAAAAATAGTGAATGTGAATTAGGCTTTGGCTGAGGGCTGACAGGTGTCATTTTGAGAGTGAGGCAATGTTTTGATTTGGATAAATGAGAGGCTGGACAGAATGGCAAGTGGAAGAGGTCAAAAGAAGGAAGGAGAGAGCTTATGTATGTGTTTCTGAGCGTGAGCGTGTGTATGTGCGTCATTTTGACTTTGTGCGAATGAATGGGTGTATAATTTTGAGCATGCTTGTTTACAGTATGTGTAAGTTTCTGTGTAAGTTTCTGTGCAAGGTGAGAACAGCAGGGCCTCAGACACTCACCACTTCAGGCTGTAACCTTACCTCTCGCCCAACCCTTACTTTGTCACATCCAGTCAGTTTAGTCACACTGATAGTTCATCTTATCTATACTTGTATTAAGTATACAAAGTTTATCTGAATGGATTATTTTCATAAATGCTTATGTTCTAAAGTTCAACCTCCAGGGTCCAAGTTTGATCTATGCAGTAACATCTGGTCCTTGCAGAGTTACTTCACTCCGCAGCATTCTGCGTTTTTCTACCAGTTGACGCACTTTGAAAGGTACAATATGATGGCGGAGAGCATCTGCGAAACACCAGTAATGTAATGTAACTAAATGTACATATGCAGGTGAGTATGTATGTTTATTTGTGTGTAAGTGCATTTCCTTTGAGAGGGAAGTGAGGGTTTAGAACAGCTGCCTCTGTCTGGAGGTGACCTCTGCGTTGTCCAGCACACGGCCAACCCGCTGGCCACCCGGCAGCCCACAATCCGATCAGCAGCTCAATGACAGCCAAAGGGCGCTCGGGTTTGCAGGGCCGGCTCAGAAGCTCTCCACATACACACATTACTGTCTGCTTTGCTCTCTATGGCTCTCCACATTAAATAATAATTACAACAGTTACGTTTCACATTGGGCAGCCATTTTGTTTTCATGAAAGATGAAAGGCATGATCCCTGACATGACCCCATTAATTAGGTTCTGATACTGAACTGCGAGTGTTTAGACATTCCATCATTCACTTCTACACAAGACAGTTTCACTCAGTTTACCACTGAAGTTTCACTGTGGTCCTACACATCATATATGAGTGAGCAATCCAGAATCTGAGCATAAAATTGGACTGGCTATCTGTGGCATGCACATAAAGAAACCACTCCAATCAAGTACCTTGGTTGTGTCACAGGACTTAGTATTTGTTTAATTAATAAGTAATTGTTAGTAATTGTTTAATTTGTTGAACATATTTGTTAATTCAAAGGGAAGAGATTATAAAGGATTAATTTAAAATGATGTGGGCCATTAATTAAAAAAAATTGCACTTTATTTAGTTTTAACATTTAAAAGTTTACTGAAGTTGAAAAGGGCCAAGTTCATTAATTGAACAAGCGTTGTCTGGCACAGTTCACATTTGCTCATTGGTCCAAAATGGTTTAAGCCAAAGACAGCCTAGCAAACAATCTACGCAAATCTGTTTTGTTACATGCATTTAAAGTTCTTACAATTTTTGAAAGATATATTCATGTTCTGTCACACTGACAGGGAATTGCTTTCGAACTTTGTGATGCAACGAACAATAATGCTATCAAAATATAAGCTGACCAGAAGTTCTATCGAATAGTCTCAGTTATTGAGCCAATAAAAGTTTGCTAATCAACCAATATAAATGGGAACAGGTTGTGGGTAAAGGTGAGAATTCTGCCCACCCTGACTAACCCCCCATTTCAGGGCACATTTGGGAGCAGAGGGATGGACTACTGATCAGTGTGGAGGCTGGTGAATTATCGATAGGTTCTCTCACCCTCCCTCCCTCCCTCCTCTATTTCCCTCTCTCTCGCACTCTCTCCCCCATCACTCACTCAATGTAATCACACAGACGGAAGCCTGTGCAAGATAAATCTTAAATTCATGTCCTTGCTACAATAAAACTAGGTCCACAATTTATGGGCTGTCAATATTCTCCCAAAAGCGACTACCGTGCTCTAAAACCTCAGCCTCCACTGTATCTTGTTGAAGAAAGGTTTAAAGACAGATTGGAAATCAAAATTAATTTTCACCTCAATTCTTTTTGAATGCAGAATGGCCAAAAAATGAAACATCTTAAAAATTGTATTTCACAAAAGTATCTTATCAAAGCTTGTGTCCTTCTGCTTGGGAAAATTATTTTATTTTTAGTATGACTTCATGGTGTACTAGCAGACATTATCTTGATTGAATACATCAGTAAATTATCTTTTTGCCTTCGATGAATGACCTTTCAGGGTCAGTTTAAGTCCATTTCAGTTCAAAATGCACATAAACCCTAAAAATCAATCTGACTGACGCATCTTCGGCCCTATGTGGAGAGTCTTCTTCAGGTTTTCTCTAAAAGACATGTCTGAAACACGGACACCCCTGCGCAATAGTCTTCATTAAAACCCCTCTACGTGTAATACTAATGATGCCAATTTTTGTTTGTTGTAGATGAGCCTATTTAAAACTTTGTAACTCAAGATTTATGTCACAGAGACTGAGGAAAAATTATTCCAGTGAAGCAAGACCTTTGGAAATTCAATTTCAGAATTATTTAGCAATTAAATTCTGGAATCTATGAACGCCAGCATCTATCATTTGCCCAGTGGGGTTAATGTAGGGGTTAATGTTAATATTAATATTAATAAAGGGGTTAATGTGGTAACACTTTGTAGCATTATGGCATTTAAAATTCTCATCATCCTTAAAACAACATACCCTTTCATTGCATATTCATTCACTTTCATTTTTCCCAAATGTTAATACTGCTTTTAAAAATTCCACTGATGAGAAAAAATACTGCAGTAAAAAAATGCACAATCATTAAAGGCCCTCATATCCATCCCCACCCTTCTGCCATCCTTATTCCTCATGACTGTATCCATTTACCCCTCCATCTCTCTTTTCTACCCCTCTCTATCTCCCTTTTGTATCCCCTGCCATCTCTGTCCCACACTGCTAGTGGTCATTTCACTTCTCAAGTCCATTGATGTGTATGCATGACCCTGTGGCCTAATGAATAAGCCATCTGCCTCTGGAGCTGAGGATTGTGGGTTCAAGTCCCACCTGGGTTGTGGGCCTTCCCTCTACATGTTGAGACAACAATGTAACATCACTGATGTACAATACTAAGTACGGAGGGAAAACCTGTTGCATTTCCAAACAATCAGGATTGTAAGTACATGTGACAAGATTTCATCGTTTTTGCTCCGTAAACCACCACAATAATTTTAAAATGTGCAGGAGAGGATAATTTGATACTTGCAACAATTCATTTGCTCTATTTGTAAAGCTTCTGTGCTATACAATGCACACATAAGAGAAAAACATCATTGCCTTATGTTTTCAGTTGTGTTTTTGTGCTGTGCAAGTATGTCTTCGAATATGTCCATTCCGAAAAAATGTGAGTAAGTTTCTGAAATGTGCAAATACAAAGTCAGTTGTTGTGTGTTGGGGGAAAAACACAAGTGGTTTTTTTTATTAATAATTGCTCTGTTAGATTTAAGTAATAAAGGACTGTTTATTAATATGTTTTCATAAATTTCCATTTGTCTATGAACTAGGCTTACAATTGCCATACAGATATTTTATGCTCTTTTTCCAAAATTTCACAAATGCGGTCACCATTAACCCTTCTAAACATTTGTTGATGTGTATTATATAAATGCATGCCATTTAATGGTTTCATAATGGACTTAGATATCTCAAATCAGGACTCATATAATTGGTTAATTATTGAAATGATATTATTAAAAAATTCAGACACTGCACAAAAAACACGTGGAACTTTTCTACAATAATGAATTATGCTTAAATTTTTGCAGTGTTCACCCCACAACATGTTTCACAATGTCCTGGAACCCCCAAAACTTTTTTTCATAAATTTTTCACCCTACTGGGACTTTGCTCTAGGTTACTGTGAAAAAGCCCACATATCAAACAACTGCAAGAAATACGGGTATCCGGGTAATACGCGGGTATCCGCGCTTAGTAGTGCAAGGTATGGTCCGTAAGCACTTGAGACATAATTTTCATAATTTTTGGTCCATACACTGCCACAATTATTTTGAAATGTATCAGTTAAAATTGTTACTTGAAATTTATGCTTTCAGCTTTATGGGCTGCTCAGTGAAGCACTGTCCAATGAGTTTAGAAAAACTTGGCTGCATCTGTGCATTTGGCAATCTTTTGTCAGTAGTCACATCATCAACTAGAGGGGCACTCGGTAGAGCGCATACCTCCGCCACGCCACTTGTTTGACTGATCGTGGTCAATATCAATCGGGTCCATCCCTAATGTGATAGCAACCCACCCACAAAATTTCAGAGATATCCGTTCTTTACTTTTTAAGTTATCTTGTACACAAACAGACAAACAAACCAATGCCAGCAAAAAACATAACCTGCTTGGCGGAGGTAATAAATAAAAAGGAACCAGTTTCATAGGTATGCCGATGCTACAGCACTAACTAATGCTGTACTAGTACTAATGTACTAATCATGAGGATCCCCCACCAGTGTGCTGGCCCAGTGGCCTAATGGATAAGGCATCAGCCTCCGGAGCTGGGGATTGTGGGTTCAAGTCCCACCTGGGTCATAAACTCTAAGATGGTAGGCTGCATTTCATGATTTAACTCTCAGGTGCTCAACAATACTGCAGAATGATGGACAAACTGCATCCTTCTAAAACCCTGAGCTCCCAAAATTTGCAAGGTATAGCCCACAGCAGCAATTTGTAGCACCCTGAGCAAATGACAAACTGTGGTTTGCCAAAAAGCATCTGAGTGCGCTCTCATTGAACTTGTAAAAATGAGGACTACTACAATTAAAACAATACCGGCACCGCTTTTGAAATGTTAAGGTTTTAGTTAAACTGTACGTCCATTTTACACATTATCCCCCTAATTTATTAGGCTGCATATTAAATGGACCAAAGCAGCACAATCACAGTATAAATTGTATTTTTTAAAACTTGATTGCAAATCCTTTGCAGTCAACGGCTCCCTGAAGTTAGAAACCCACAGAAGGTTTCTTACCCTCTGAAGCTCTGCCAGGAGTTCAGTACAGCTGTCTTCAGTTCCTGCTCATTCTGGGGCATTTTGCCTTCAGATTTGCTTTTAGCAAGTAACATTAGACTCAGGTCAGGTGGTTAAAATGTTTGACTAGGATTCAGATGGGAAGTGGTTCAAAAGCCCCACTGCAGCTGGAATAAGATCAGTGCCTCCTTCAGGGCCCTGAACCCCACATTGTTCCAGGGGGAATTGGCCACAACCAATGAGTTTTGAAACTTTGGCTGCACCTGAGCACTTGAAAATCTTTAGTCAGCAGTCAGATTATCAATAAATACAATGGAACCAGCTATATTGGCAGTCATACATGCCCATGCATTAACACTACCCCCACCATGCTTCACAGATGCAATTGTATGCTTCGGACCACGAGCAGCCAAATACAAAATTATCTCAAGTTTATTGTATTTATTTTATACATTCACATTGACCCAGTGGCCTAAAGGATAAAGCATCAGCCTCTAGAGCTGGGGATTGTGGGTTTGAGCCCTACCTGGGTCATAGACAGGGTTTCACGACTAGTCTATATGCAAGCTCAACCACTCCACTTTGTTGCCGCAGTGTGAGTCATATTACTAGCCATGTAAACAAACTGGTTAAAAAAAATCTGACAATTGCAAGGAAAAACCTTTGCTTTGTAGCATATGGTGAAGTCTATAAGTATTTGTACTTTTTGTCACTTTGCTCTGTACACCACCACCATTATTTTTAATGTAACAGTGCAGATGTTACATTAAGTGAATTTTAACTTTAAGGGTTCTTTCAAACATAACCATTATAATCAACCTGTACATCAGCGGTGGGCAATGAGGACCATATCTGTCCCTGGTTTTGACACCAGTTCTGGCCTTTAATTAGTTAATTACCTTAATTAGCTGAAGCATTTATGAAATCTGATGTTTCTGCTGCATCTCTTTAAATTCTCACGATTGACCAACACACACTGTACTGGTCTCCCTAAATGAAACATTTCTCTTTGATCTACTGTATGAGCAAATCCAGGTCTCTGAATGCAACCAATTTGTCCAATTAGAAGAAATAAAAACCAGCGTACACACCGGCCCTCCAGGACCGGAATTGCCCGCCCCTGCTATACATCGTGCCCCTAATTTTTCAGACACAGGAGTAATAGGACAAAACCAACTGTTGTGTTCTGCCCATGTCATGTTCATGTTTTGCCTTGCCCTAGTATTTATGTTTATTTATTTCCAGTTTTCCCTTCTTGGTCTGCTGGTCTGACTCCAAGTTTGCAATTTTTTTACAGTCAACGGCAAAGTGAAGTTTGAAATCCATACAAATGGGTTTCCTCCCTGGTCAGGCTTTGCAAGGCCTTCAGTGCAGCTGTCAACAGTTCCTGCTTATTCTCAGGCCAGTTTGCTTTCAGTTTTGTCTTCAGCAAGTCAAATTCACGCTCAAGTGGACTCAGGTCAGGTGATTGATTTGGCCCCTGGAGAACATTCCACTTCTGTGCCTGAAACTATTTTTTGTGTTGCTTTCCCAGTATGCTTCAGGTCTCTGTCCATTTGCTCTGTGAGGCACCATCCAATGAGTTTTGAAACATTTACCTGCATCTGACCAAATCACCGCTCACATCATCAATGAATACAAGGGAACCAGTTCCATAGGCAGCCATTAATGCCCAGGCAATAATACTGTCTCATCCATGCTTCATAGATGAAGTCGTAAACTCCAGATCATGAGCAGCCCTTTACAACAGTAGCTCAGCACGTATGGGTTTGAAACTGAAAGCAAAACAATAAAACAAAAGCTTGACAGAAAGTTATATGGACAGACCCAGTGGCCTAATGGATAAGGCATCAGCCTCCGGAGCTGGGGATTGTGGGTTCGAGTCCCATCTGGGTCGGAAATGGTCTGCTTTTGATCATTCAACCCCACTTCAGATAATTCACTATACTTTGGTGCAGCAGGTTGACCCTCATTCACAACGCCCGGTGGACCCATGATGCATAATATGGACAAGTATCAGAATGCCGCCTGAGGTAAGAAAAGTACTCTCGTAAACCACAGCCGCAGCTGCTTTGATCAGTATTATTGACCAGCAACAATCAGAGAATACTGATGTGGTGAAGCAGCTGAGAGTCCCAGCGGAACTATATCACGGTGCAGCAGGACACGGCGCTGAGGAGTTGAACAGTCGTGCCGAGGCCTGCGTTAGCATCGTGTGGAGAGGGACTGTACACCTGATGCCTGGTGCCTCTCAATCCCACCTGTGAACAAACTGTAATGGGATCTGATCTGGGCCCCAAGTTAGGCAGAATGAGCAGAGTTGGCTGGTTGATGCCAAAGAAAATTATCACCATCTGCAATCTAAACCTGGTAATTAATTAACAGGTTCCTTTTCATCCTCTGAGATGGCTGATGTCAGAGAAGTGAAAATGAGCTTTAAATCCTGCAGTATAATCAAGACTATTCTATCAGACTATATCTCTCCCTCTCTCTCTCTCTCTCAGATGTAAAGGGAGGATAGGAGTTTATGGAAGGAGATGTGGAGGGGACAGGCCAGAATAGGGACAGGGGCAGGTTGTTCGCACAACTGAGTCGTTCATCACCTGCCCATGCTGAAGAGTGAGGCCTAGTCCAGCCTGTTTGGTCCAGCTTTGCTCCAGGGGGGATGCTGTAGGACTGCTGTAATGGCCACACCTTGGATATTAGCTCACAACCTCTCCTAAATCGAAGGATGAAATGCCTGCAAGCAAGGCAGCAGTGATGCAGTGATAGAGTAAAAAAGAAAGAGAGCTCTGTCTCATAGAAAAGTGAGGATAATACTGTGATATTTAAAGCTAATTTTCACTTCTCCAAAGTCAGCCATTTCAGAAGATTAGAAAGGGCTGCAGTTACAGAACAGACAATAAATGCAGAAAATGAGAATAAATAATAAAAATTAAGAGCAATAAGTAAAACTAATCCCTCCACGATGACTCTCTCTCACTGCCAGCAGAAAAAAAAGGAGGCAAACATTTTTTGAGCTCTGTAGTTCCCTCTGGGTACTAAAGTTATCCAGGAAGTGACTTAGCCAAGCTCCATTTAAAACATGCCCAATGTTATGATTTCTTTGCTGGAAAGGAAGTTGAGCTGCAGCAGAGTTCAAACCACACCCCCTCTAAAACACGCCCATTTTTTCACAACAATATGGTGGCTAACCCTTACCCTAAACCTGGGTAATGTATAAATACATAAAACTACAATGTTTATGACCAACATTTTGTCGAAGTCCAGTATGAATATCTTTGCTCTGTACACCATCTTTTCCTCTGAAACGAAAACTGGCAAACAGGAAGTTGTCATGTTTGTGGCTGTGGTCTCTTAACCAGTGCATTAACCATATTTGGCAGTTAAAATTACCTAAAATTCATTCACATTTGTGCTGTGGCTACAGCTAGGTATAGCTGACACAAGCAGCTGAAAAGATTGTCCAGTGGCCACTAAGCTAAGCTAAGCTAAGCTAACCTCTTTTAACAAGGTAAGGGGAACAGGGGTACAGGGCTCCCCCCATACAAACTCTGAATCAAGTCATTGTAAAGTCAACCATAGACTTTCCTCAGGCCTGATGAAAGCCATTTTAGCACACAGATGTATATTTTTGGGCACTGTCAGGTTGGGCAATTTAGAGCCAGGTTTAGCACAGTACAGCCACAACTCCTGCAACTCCTCTTATTTCAACCAATGTTGCTAATTTGTGAGGGCTCTAGGCTTCCCTGTGTAATCCTGCTTCTCAGAACAGTGTGTGGGAGCTGCCTAATTTATGTTATGGAAGCCGGATCTTCAGTGTATTTGCGTGTTTGCGTCAGTGTCCCTGTACAACTGCTTTCGATGCAGTCCCTGCCCCAAACTCCACCACACTGCTACACATCATTAATCATCACACCCCCACATTATCTCTGTATTTACTCAGGTTAGGAATCCCAAGCACAGACAGCAGGTTATGAACTGACAAGGGACGTAACAGACAGATCAAAGAACTGCGAGTCCACTTCTGTTTGCGTTTATAATCTAATCAGGTATTCTGCCCAATTCTCACATTCCTGACGGCTCTGTGCGTGGCTGCATGACGACCTCACTGCTGATACAGAAGCATGCTTTGAGCGACCTGTCAGTTCTCAGGCAAGAGGCTTAGTGTCAGGTTCCGATATTGGTGAATATTTCAGGAGCACCTCTCCACTGGCACAATGAGGCTTTGGCCTTGGGCGTCCCACTGAAAGACAATGTGGAATATGCACTTAGGAGTCACAGGCAGCATGCATCATGTGTCTGCAGACGTGGTTATCCCCTGTGTTTTGCGCTCATCTGATGTAAATGAAGTATATCGTGGATGAGAGAAAGCTCCCTGACCATAAACTAATGAGAATTAAACCTTTTAAGAGTAGGTTTTTGGAGCAGCTTTTTTTCACAAAGTTTGAAGTTCATATTCTGTAATTCAACTGCTTCCTTTTCATCCAAGAGATTGCTACATCAGCAGTAAAATGTCCAGTTCAAGAAAATTCCAAATGAATATTTATGATTTTAATCATCAAACAGAAGCTATCCGGGAGGAGAACCACAAGAACTTGAGAACAAGCGTCCACCTGCTTTCTATGGCTGGAGAACTCAGATTGGAGCGACAGTACAAAGATGCCACTTACTGTGCAATATAATGTGCAAGAAAAGGCTTATCGGGCACAATACTCTGTATGTAGTGTGATTTTCAGCACAGAGAGATATGAGCAGTGCCAGCTGCAGTGATAGACCAAACCAAAGCCAGTAAAACAAATCCTCTATGTCCCCACGGCAGCCTGTTCATTGGTGGAATGCGCCACCTTCTGTTCAGAAGTGTAAGCGCTCTCTTTGAAAAACTGAATCACAGTTTTCGAAAACAATGCGCAATAGATGAGGTAAAGGGGATAAAATGCATTAACAAGCAAGGGAAGACACATTTATGTCCAGGAGAAATTCCAAAAATGGCGATGACATGCTTATTCCTAAAACAAATTATATTCTATAATTACCCTAAGGTTGATTGAGAAGCAGAATATTGAGCCTAAAAAATAGACGATAAAATGTCATTGAATGCAAGTTTTCTCGATAACTGAAATGATGCGTGAAGAATCAAAGGGGAAATTACATTTGGATTGCTTTTCTTCAGTGCGGTACAATCTGCCTGGTCCATTATTAAATACTGCTCTCTACTGGCATCAGGTGGCATTACATTCCAAAAAATTCACTAACCACAAGAGAATCTTGCATCAGGTTTGTCATCAAACCTTGAACTCAGGAGCTCAACAGATTCTCTAAAGAGCAAGGAACCTTCCACGCAAGCGGACGTGACCCGGAAGTAGTTTGGCTGGTAGCCATGACAAGGAACGCCATACTGTCTATTTCATGTAGGAAAGGAGACAATTAGCTCCGTAGTTGCAACTTTCCAATAAGGAAACACAGGACCAATCTTGGAGGAAAGGACAAATTGAATATCAACCACAATCCTTTACAGCCATAGTTATTGGAAA